TGCGTATCGCAGCGGCGAGTCTGTCGCTTTGTGGACCCAGGAGCTGTAAAGGGTGGTGCAAATTATTGGTTTGTGCCAACGGAACAGCCGATCGGGTCACTTGTCCTGGATGGCCAGAGCACAACAGCTGCGATTTGCTGGTCTCCCGCTACTTGCGAGGAATATGCTACAGCTGGCTGCTTCACAGGCGCGATGGACCGAATGTAGCTCATGGGGTAAATCGCTGATGTGATGGTCTGGTAAATAATGGGATGTTTCTACATTTCCAGAGTGAAACTGTTGTCCATGATGGAGGAACTTCACGTTCTGCAATGCAAATAATTTCTGTGGTTTGATGCTGTATAAAGCTGCATTCTGTTCATTAGCAAATTGATCAGAATCCAAGTAATTTTCATCGACGCTGAACTAGTAGTTTTGTTAATCACCTGCTGTGTAGTCAATGGTTGCTCATGGTGTCCTATTCCACTCTGTGCCTCAGAAGGGAAAGCAACCTAGACTGATGTTCACAAATTTGATTTAGATCAAGAGTACAGCCATAGGGGTATAATGCATTTTTATATATATGAGTCGTATGTGTATCAAGTAGTTCTATTATTCATGCATATTTCAAATATAACATATTAAAATTGTTTGACTTCAGTTGTCCGTGCTCAAGCAAAGCATTTCTCGCCACGTTCAGAAATGCGGTCAGAGCCAGTAGCATGATCTATGTGCACAGACCACAGAGTAAGAGATAGGAGTGCAAAAATTGCTTAAAACTAATGACGTAACCTTTTTTCCAGCTCTGTGTAGCAATTGAGTCCTGGGCCCTAATTTTGGTTTTAACATGCGTTCATAAAAAAATTACCTATGAGTGTTTCTTAATGAGTTAGGAAAAATATGCACATTTGGGAAAAAAAGGTGGCTTTATTAATCAGTAGTGAAGATATTGTTTTAGATCTTAATGCAAAAGTTTCACATCAGAAAGTAGGGAATTGTGTGGTCTATAAGGAAGTTAAACTATTTCAAAAAAGTATGTTACCACTGTCATTTACTTTACAAAAAATTAATTACTTTTTTTGCCACATCATGACATGCCAGCAGTTGTTCATGACAGAACTGCATATTCTAAAGGCCTGTTGGAATAATACTATATGCATTTTTATCCTAGTAAATAATACTGTGTAATACATTATTAGCTTTTTTTTTTAATTTCAAGATATTTTTTCATAGGCTTTTCGATTTTGTATTTAACTTATAATTAAGGCAGCATTTCATGTTTTAAATATCTAATTCAGCAGAAAACATTCAACTGGTTTTATACACAGACCTTTTGTAGAAAACGGTACAATTATTTCAGGATTTTATAACACTGTTTCTGCTCTGACTTAAGCCAATGGACAAAAGCTTACATTCCAGAATGATGCTTTCTGTGCAAAAAACACACTGTGAAATACCAGCCCTAACACGAATCTCCCCATTAAGAAACAGAGGAAGAAGGAAGCTTAACAAGAAATGGCCTGCAAGTGGAAGAAATGGGAATACCATCCAGGTTCACGAAGCCTTATGCTGAACTTCTACCCCCTGGTCCACACAACCCAAACCGAACAGCTCATCTTACTCCTGCCATGTGAAATGTTTCAGGGGGTATGTTATAGAATTGTCTGGATTCTGCTATTCTAAAAAAACCCCATTTATTGTATCTGCAATGTTTTTTTCAGAGATGCTAATATTCAGGCTGTGGCCCATAGAGGATATTTCCTGGCACGGCACGGCGCAGCGGTAGGCAGAGATACCTGGGCTAGCTGCGAACAATTTCCTGGGCTAGCAGTGCCTGTTCCCACCAGCCCTGTTGAGCACCGATGGGTACGAGCTTGAACGGAGCACTGCACGGCTGAGCCTGCCTGGCTTCCCACGACAGCGTGGTCTGACGTGGCTGGGTAGCATCTGTCCGAGACAGAAACAGACGGATCCCACCTCAGGTGAATCCTGCCTGGGGTAACGGTATTCTGTGCCGTGAATAGGAATTCTGTGGAAGTAAGCGAAACTGCTCACAACTTGTTATCCCACCTGTTTCCATTCTGTGAGGTTTGAAATGGGGAAAGCATCATTCTTTTGAAGTTGCTGAAGTTCTAGTGAGATTTTTTTATCAGATCAGCTTTGGAACATGTAATTGTACCTTGAAAAATTGCGTGAAAACAGCATGGGAAAAGCCAAGTACCTTCTGATGAAAAATAACCCTGTTTTCAGAAACAAAGAGAAAACCTTGAGCCTGAAAGATTTCTGCCAACTTGGATGATAATTTATCTCCTGAAAAACGAAGGTTGTATGTGCTGCTATATGGTGAATATATTTTATATTGCAACAACAATTTCTTGTTTGCTTTCTAAAGTGCTACAAATTTATGTGAGAAGGAAGAACTTGTTTAAGTTAAGCTGTAGCAGTACTTCGTGGTCGGCACAACGAAGTCCTCAGTTGGGATCGCCTCAATAAATAATACCTTCTTCCAAGTGACTATTCTGGTGTATTCCAGTAGAGTTTTCTACATAATTTAGGAGGTGCTTTTGATTCATAAATGAATACTTCCTGAAGGGTTATCTTCACTCTTTTTTTTTTTCCTTGAACTGCTAGCATAGGCTCCGGTGATATATCCATCCTTGGGTGCAAACTGTTCAGCTTCTGTGGCGTGTGGCATTCTGGTTTTGCCCACTGGCCTTGGACACAGCAAAAAGTGTGTTTTTGTTTTGTCCGCTTCCCGAAGCCCAAGCGCAGCCTCTTCCCTGTGCCGCTACGCCAGGCAATACAGCAGCACCACCCTGTGGGAAATAACATTTCTCCTCATTTACAAGGCACTAGGCAGGAACTAGAAGGCATTGTTTGCACAGAGCATCCCCGGGTAGCACAGCGGTCCAGCACAATCCTCCACAGCCCAAAGAAGGTATGTCACAATAAATAGGTTTCTTGCATCGCTACGCCTCGCAGTCACGTTTCTTTGCTGTGGAAAAGATTTAGCTGCTCTGACTCTCCATAAAATTTCAGGCGCACATTTTTCTGAAAATACTTCACTGCTGCTCCTTTTTTCTGCATGGTTCATTTTCCAGGAGAGAGGCAGGTGAGTCTTTGGTGGCAGGGTGTGCCATTGTTTTGGGAACCTGCACCACTTCTTCCTTGAATCCTTCCCTGCTGCCTTCCACGCCCTCAGGAAGGTCTGGATGGAACAATGCTGATGCTAGAAGCCTCAAGATTGAGAAGGGCAGTGAGGTTGCCTAACGTACCCTTCAGCCCGCATAACTGAGCTCAACATCATAGGTGGTCAACCTGACTTCAACCCTACTGTTGTTCCTACCAGCTTTCAGGAGTGGTGTGACAGTCCTGCTCCCAGTCCTTCCTGTTCTCTTCCCTTCCTAGGTAGGCCACCTTTGTTTGTAAGAGAGAGGCTGGCAGGTGGCTGGAAAAGAAGGATGGATTTTGCCCCAGTCTTTCTTAGGAAGAAGGAGTGGTTGCGTTATGTACAATGTTATACTCCTGATCGCTTTTGCTTGCATTATGAAAGATTCTTCGAGGGATAGCCGAGAGGGGAGATGTTTCTTGATGTTTCATGATCTGTCATCATATTTTACACTCT